AACGTTTAGCATACTAGCCCAACGAAGCCCTCTGAAAGAATATTATTATGCTTTTGAACCGTAACGTTTATATATGAAATATAGTTCCCAAGAAACTATTGTATTTCATTGAAATACAAATGCATCGTCTTAACCAATAAATCGAAAATTTCAACGGTATTATTTTTACTTTCAAGTAAAAAAATCTTCTGTTGATTATTGTAGCGAAATCTCTAACTGGCATATAGAAATATGAAAAAGTTAAATATAGCCAAACAAAATATAATTGATAAATTAGTCGCAAAAAAAGTCTTGCTAATAGTAAAAAGTACCTAAACTTGAACTCTGTGGTCTCATATTTTGATCACAAATAGAGTAAGTTGAACTCTAATATCAAGGATCAATTAGGATCTAATTGGCCTTCATATAGAGGAGTTAGAAGGTCAATATAGAATTTTTGCTTCTAACAAGGATATTTCACTATAGGAAACAAATCTCGGGCATTTGATCACTTATCCAAGAGTTCACTGTTGTATCTTTCATGAATAAAAATTTCATGTAAAACAGTTTTACTTTGCTTGATTTATGAATTTATTTTTGAGGGGTCTCGTTAGAGAGAGATCCACAACTTCGGCTAGTTTCAACCATTCGTTTTGAAACTTTCTCCAGTGAGAGTTTTGCTGTATTCATCTTTTTTCTAAAAATTTTACGATTTTAACCATCAATAGAGAGGAGATCTGTGCTGAAGCTGTTCAAGACTATTGCAGTTTTTTCACGCCTGAAGATTACATTGGGTTAAAGTACACTTTCTGTGACATAATATAGACATGTTGAGTCTTGTTTGCTAATAAGAAAATAAATGATAAAGCATTAAAGTTGTGAAGACTCAGAAAAGTATCAAAAGAGCTTTGTTTTAGATCCAGTGAGAAAAATACAGTGCTTTTAGTCGATATATAAGGCAAAAGAATTGAAGTTGATGTATTTCTTATTCAGTAGCGGAACTTTTTTTTTCGACAACTATAATACATTTTCTAGTTAGTTGATTAATTTTAAGGCTGATATCTATTTCAGTGATGTACGTATTTCTGATCGACTTGATGAAATTGATAAATGGCGTAAAACTCTTGAATATACAATTCAAGATGTTGATCGTGAAATTCAAGCTATTCAGTCAGCTAAAGAACAATGTGAACGTTATTTAGAACATATGCGAAGTCCATTAGGTAAATAATTAATTAATAAAAAACAAAAAAGCATATTAAATTTTAT